TTTTTTTTTTTTTTTTTTAATTAATTTTTCTTTCGATATCTCTAATACCCTCCCTATCTCAATTCGAGATAGAAATCTAACATCGGCATCTGATCGATTTATTTCGATAATTATTTCGAAATTTAGTTCGATACCTAAGAATAAATTTTTTTTCGCTCTAGTTTTTTTTTTTGTAGTTGTTTGAACGAATGACAGATAGAAAAGGTGTCAACCGAGATAAACGGAGTGGAAACAAAATCCGCTTCACCGTGGCCAATTACACGGAGGAATTGCGGTTCAACGAACTCCGAAAGAAGAGCAAACGCTAATGAAAACCGGAGGGTAAAACTGGATAAGAGACGGTGAAGGAACGCTCTTCACGGTTTTTTTCTTGGGCTGCTTTCCATTCGGACGACACAGTTTTCATGCGAAAGTGATCCTCTTACTTTTCCTACTATACGAAGTACTCTCGACTCGAGTCGAATTATAGAAATCGATCGATCATTTATATCGATATATTTACTGTTCACTGGTGGAAAAAAATCTGGCGAAAGGAATGCGAATTAATGATTGATTAATATGGGAGGAAACATCTATTTTTCACGCGTATTTTTCTTTCTACTATGGTGTTTGTCGCGTATATTAATTCAAAATAACGATTTCAATGCATTAACGTAGACATAGAATCAAAAGAATTTTAATGTATCGATATAATATAAAAATTTTTTTATTTCTCATAATACGCGTAAACTAATTAATTTATTTAACAATAATTTAATTTGTAAATATGTTTAATTTTATATTCGAGTAGTTAAGATAATAATTATATATATATAGGAATGAGACGTATTATGAAAATAATTAATAAAATTTTCGAAAATATTTCAGCTTCTAGTCTTATCCTAACGTAACTTTATAAATGAAAATAATTTTTACGATTTTGAATGTTCAAGTTATAGCTCTTCTATTATAGTGTGTGGTGTCAACAAAGATTGTAAACAAAGCGTCTAAAGTGGGGATAGCGAAGGACGTCTCTTGCTCCAGTCCCGCCGTCCCGCAAGACTTCTTTTCACCAGTATACACAGTACACTTCGCATATAGAAACATAGAATTTTACTAATCATCGATACGACAAACGTAT